ATATACAGTACTGGAATTTTATTATTTTATTCAAAACATATTGTTATTACAAATATAGTTTTAATTTACATCAAAAATATTCAAAAATTTTTTTAATATCCACATTCAACTGATTTCCAAACCAAACACTGCAAATAATTCCCATTTGTGTTCTACTGACATGCTATCAATGGAGAAATTTTTGATAAGAATATATATCCCTGGTAATTCTTATCAGAATAGAAATATTTTAGTACATTTTAGAATGTATTGTAAAGTGTAATTAAGTAATAATATAACTAAGATAAATAATAGAGTATCTACATAATTTCATATCTCCTACACTAACATTAAAAAAAATTATTTCATGGATATGATATCATTTAATGGTTCCAGGTCATTGAAAACTCTTCCAAATAATATTATTATATTCTAATAGTTTAAAACCAAAAATAAAGCAAACAAATTCATTAGTTTGATGTTGGATTAGATGAATTAATCATAATCACTTTCATTGAGAGGGCTTTTGTCATATTGCTTTCAAATAAAAAGTGCTTATGTCCTTGTTATTAATAAAATATTTCTCTCTTTCATGTGCAAATGAAGATTTTCAAAAAGAAAAATGTTAAACAATTTTGATACAAAAAATAAAAATTTCAAACAGTACATAAGAAAATAAATGGTACAAATGCAGGTCTGAATGAGGAAGTAGGACCTTATCAGAGCTGTAGACCATGCCTGTAGAAGTAAAATTGTCCAAGGAACTAATGGTCTACATGTAATCCTGTGCATGAAATACCCCTGAAATCACCCTATCTCGAATCTTGGAAGACCATAAAAGTAGAGTGAAATTTAAAAATGAAAAAATCCAAAGCTATTTCTAAAAACAATGCTAAAAATTAACTGTTTCCATCCACTTTAACAGAGACGACTAAATGCTCATAAAACATGACAAATGCCACCATACTGACTACTTCTGATACATGATTGGAGTCATGCTGTGCACTTTATTAAGTCTGTCATGCATTTCACGAAAGCTTCACAGGAAGTGAGGGGTCCAAATTCTTCATACAGAACAATTTTACCAAATAAATGCGGTATATAATTATCATTTCATCAACACTTACTTTACAGTATCTAAATAAAGCTTAATTATTTCAATTAAATTTCTTATGACTGCTGTTATATATATATTGTAAAGTCTTTGTAAATCCGCACTTAAAATGTAAATTTTAATATTGGCGGTAGACTATCACACAGCTTTAGCCAATGATTTCACTTTATTCTATTACTATAGATGCATTTCGGTCCTTTTCTAAAAAAGGTCCCTCTTCAGTACTATAAAATACAAAAGTTTACATAAACTTTTTCAGCAAGTAAATATTTAACATAACAATAAATATTTTAGTATTACAATACCATTTGAGTACACAGTTTTATTTATACATCCCTTTAGCACTTTTATCTTGAGCGCACTAAATTATTTTTATTTATGTCTTGCTGTAATAAATTTTACTCTATATTAGATCTAACAATTATACTCAANAAATCCGCACTTAAAATGTAAATTTTAATATTGGCGGTAGACTATCACACAGCTTTAGCCAATGATTTCACTTTATTCTATTACTATAGATGCATTTCGGTCCTTTTCTAAAAAAGGTCCCTCTTCAGTATGTATGTATTTTTCTATGATAGTCCATGAACTGTCTTTTTTATTAATTGTACACAATAAAAACACTCCACTGGTAACTATTTAACTGCTCTTTGCACACTATAAACCACTTTGATAATAACTGTTCACAAGTACATTGTTGGAGTCTCCAACAATGTACTTGTGAATATTATAAAACCAACAATGTAAATATTATAAAACCAATTAATAATGCCATCTATGTGGTTGCAACTGTTAATCCATGTTATCATAAAAGGACTTCCAGGCTGCTGATAAACCATCAGCATCCCTGTGATTGATGCAGTGTGCAGTCATTTGCGCTTTGTGTATCTCTAGTTTTTCCAGGTGTCTCACTGCTTGCATGGATCTTGTAGGTTTAATAATTGCCGCTTGATTCCAGTATACTGTGATGTCCTGCTGCTTTGCAAATGCTGTGAGGACCATACTATCAATGCTTCTATTCACTGAGTATTTGTGCTCATCCATCCTTTTCTTCAAGTTTTACATCATTGCCCCTATATATATTAGGTTGGAGTTAAATCTATGGTATTTTATAGGAATAGAATATATCCCTATCATGCTATTACGCTTATATTTTCTCTTATCGTTTCTTAAAAGCCTGTACACAGTAGGATTAAGCCTATAAATAATAAAAGCTTATAAAACATACTCTGCTTTATAAGCTTAATCAACAATAATCCTTATGGATTAACAGTGGAGCTAGACCAAGAAAGTGAGAATAGTGTTAGATTTAACAATAACATCCAGAGAGAGTGAGATCAGAACGAATATATACCGTAATCCGGTTTATCAGCCAGTTATCATCCCTAAGAATTCATCAGATCCAGAACACATCAAATTGGCAGCTTTTCAATTATGGATAAAAAGAGCTTACACACATTGCACCAGCATGTGTGTAAGCTCTTTTTACATATAAAGAATTGGATTATATATGGAGCACAGTGGTGCAACAAGGATACAGAAAATAAATTTAAAAACTCACGCCAATGTTCGTATAACTTATGGATACAAATTCACTGAGTTCAGCGTTAATAAAGTTTCTTTAGTATTAACACAAGCACTTTCGACGAATGTATAATCGTCGTCTTCAGGTGAAAAGAATAAAATTTTAACGAGACAAACGTGCAGAATATTCCAAAGGAACAAAATATTTAAAATCAAACAGGCGTCCGGAAATTCCGTTAAGAACGTGCAAAAAGGATACAGAAGAAGGGTAATCGATACACTTATAACAAAGATGCAGAAACAAAACAGATAGCAGCGAGGGGCTGAACAAAGGGAATTACTATCCATTTCTAAATAAAATCATTAAACAAGTTGCCAGAAATAGGAATATAAAAATAATTTATAGGCGTAATCCTACTGTGTGCAAGCTTTGAAGGAACGATAAGAGAAAATACGAGCGTAATAGCATAACAGGGATATACTCTATTCCTATAAAATACCATAGATTTAACTCCAACCTAATATATATAGGGGCAACGATGTAAAACTTGAAGAAAAGGATGGATGAGCACAAATACTCAGTGAATAGAAGCATTGATAGTATGGTCCTCACAGCATTTGCAAAGAAGCAGGACATCACAGTATACTGGAATCAAGCGGCAATTATTAAACCTACAAGATCCACACAAACAGTGAGACACCTGGAAAAAACTAGAGATACACAAAGCACAAATGACTGCACAGTGCATCAATCACAGGGATGCTGACGGTTTATCAGCAGCCTGGAAGTCCTTTTATGATAACATGGATTAACAGTTGCAACCACATAGATGGCATTATTAATTGGTTTTATAATATTTACTTGATGTATACTTTTCGTTTATTTTTAATTATTTGGTTTATACTTTTCATTTTTGAGAACAGACATGCTCTTTACCATTAACTTGTGCATCTGCGCTTTGAATTTTTGTATTATTCGAATACTTTGTTCGTTATATAGATGGAATCTGAACTGAAGAAGATTGCTTAAATCAGTCAAAAACGTTTTTAATGTATTAAACGTTGTGCTGGACTAGCAAAAGGTGTTTGTTTATTTTTAAAATTTCACATAAACTTTTTCCACTGCACAGTAATTTTTTAGACACCTTATACATGTATACATATAAATTAAATATTTCATTATTGAAAGGAATAGGAATGTTTTGTTACGAACGAAAAACAATGTATGGATATAGACATGTAAATAATCTATCCACTGTACATATATTTATATAATAGCAGCAATAAAAGGATTCTGTTCAGTGAATCATTATTAATTTTTACAAGATTTTAATATTGAGAATTGAGAAATATGAGGATTTTTCTTTAATTTTATTATAGGAAACTTGCTTTTTTAAATATACAGAATATATAACAATTTTATTTATTATATATTTTTTAAAATATATAGTTTATCATGTATTCTTAGTGTTGTTTACAATAAATGATTTATCTAAACATTTATAAAAAATTTCAAGTAATAAATTACTGTTTTATTTCTTTTATAGATTTTCTTTTTAAGTTTTTGGTAATAGGAAGTGCAGGAACAGGAAAATCTTGTCTGCTGCACCAGTTTATTGAAAATAAATGTAAGTCTTTTTTGTCATAAAAAATTCTTTTCCCAAATATTTCCAAAGAAAATACAGTAATTTTAGTAACAATTCGGTTCGGTTTCTTGATTTATCTTGCATTTGTCTGATGAAATTTTGGTAATAAACAATGTTTCCAAGTGCAAAATCAGATAAAATGTAACATTTTACTTTGATCAGTTGTAAAAAACATGTGTATAATAAACAAGAATATTTTTTAAATATCTAAAAAGTTTTAAATTTATTTAATATATATTCATAAAAATAACAGTTTTTTTATGAATATAACTGTGATGTCCTGCTGCTTTGCAAATGCTGTGAGGACCATACTATCAATGCTTCTATTCACTGAGTATTTGTGCTCATCCATCCTTTTCTTCAANAAAATTTACATTTTAAGTGCGGATTTACAAAGACTTTACAATATATATTAATTATTTCTGTTATGTATCTGGATAAAACAACAGACAGACAATTCAGACATTTATGTAATGTGCTCTACAGCTTTCTACTCTAGAATGAAAGTTAAACTTAACCGAATTGATATTCATGTACTGTTAAATAGTTTTGATTTTAAAAGCTATTTCCTTTCTGTATGAAAACTACACTTAACAATTAAGAAATAAGTACAAATCTACACTATATTAAATTCTGAAGTAGGTATAAAAGATTGAACATTTATAATAAAAATCTAAAATTAGTATGGGCTCATATAAATTAATACATAATTACAAAAGAATACATAAACTTACGATTCTTCTTCCCCAACTTTTTCATATAAGATGGAAAGTGGCTTTATCGAATTGGGTTTTTCTTTTATAATGGGAACGAAACAAGTGTTCGAATTGTCGACTTTTCTCGCAAACTTGATCTGAGGTCTCATAATATTTTTTGCTGTCAGAAGTTGAAACTGTTGAAACTTTGAAGGTTTACTCTGTTAGAAATGAAAAATTCAAAATTTTAAAAATTTAATACCATAGTTTCTGATAATTCAAACTTATGATTAAAATACAAAATCTGTACTAGAATATGTTATTAAAATATATATGTATACAGATAAAATATCAATGTAAATTGATATTTTATCTGTATACATATATATTTTAATTTGTATACTAATTTCTTAAATAAACAATATTAATAATTTGCATAAAAGTGAGATCTTTAAAAAAAATTTTAAAGTAGTTATTGTCTTTAAAAAAATGACTTTTACAGTAGAATCCACTTGATCTAATCACAGACATTGTTATCAGAATTATCACAGTATGAAAGTATATCAAGTTAAAATATACTTATAAAACTCTGCTAACTATAATCAAAGTTTCAGTTAGTTATCATTATCTTTGTGTAAAAGAACATTGTTAAGAAATCTTTTTGTGTTATCAATCTCCCATATGGCTAAAAATACACATTACATCTTAATCAATACTTTAAAACTTAAGCATAAAGTTAAAACTAGGTTCCCATTGGCATATGAATCAGTACCAAGTGGAGAGGAACTGCCAGTTCATCTTCTTTCAGCAAGTGTTTGACCCACCAACTTCTCAAAAGTAATGTTCAAAATCATTTTAACCAATCATGCCATAATTTAGTTTGTGTTATGTAGTATTAACAAAACAATATTTATTTTCAGTTAGGGTTCACAAAGTGGTTTGTATGACAATGTAAACTGAACTTAAACATTATTCATTTCAATTCTTTTAACTCCTTTGTTCCCATTGACGTATATATATGTCAAGCCTGCATAGCCTTACGAAAAACGTGGTCTTTAAGGCCAATTTTGAAATTTTTTTTTTTGAATTTTTGGAATGTTTTTTAGGTCCCCAAATTTTTTCAAAATTTTTTGCCCGCGCGAAAAAATTTTTATTGCGATTTTAATTAGCCTTTAATAAGGCTCGATTAAGGCTCAGTTGTTTTTTAATGGGAGTTTTTTATCAAATTTATTTCATGGTTCCTAAGTTGTAGTGCACGGATTTTCATTCGGTAAAGTTATTTAAAGTTAGTTTCTGATGTCAAAAACGACCTCCAATGGTTTTTTAATTTTTTTAATTAATATATTTTTTTAAATATAAAATTAATTAATTAGGGGGGGTCGAAAATCGCAATAAAATTTTTAATTTTTTAAAAATATTTAAGAATTTACGTGTCGGTCATATTCACCCTACTTTAAACCCTTGACCTCCCGCGGAGTACATGGGAATGTCCCGGGAAATGGGACTCCAGCTGTGTTCAAGGTCACCCAGCTGTGTAAACAATGACTCATCAGTGTTAAATTTCACAGAAAGGGGAAACAAAGGAAAATAAAATTTGAAGCTTTTTCTTCAAAATTAACGCATTTCTTTCATTTTTTTTCAGTTTTAAGTATTTTTAATGTATTTTAATATTAATCTTATATCAATTTAATTAATGATCGGGAATGAAGGGGTTAATCACACCAGTATAATAAATTATTACAGGAATGATGTCCTAGTAGATGATGATGGTGATAATTTAAAATAATATTAATGTCACTGAGACATAAGTAATTAACATTTCAATTATTATTTCCTGGCAGTACAATGCTTTAAATTACTGGCATTTCTTATTTCAATTATGCAGTAAATTAATTATACTGGGTGACAATAACTAACCCATACAAGTTTTTTGCATTGTAAATTTATTAAAGAAATGAAAATTAGCAAAACAACAGCAGATAGCAATGACAATACTTTACGTATTAATCAGATATTCAGTCGGTTTCAAAGTGGCCTCCTTTTGCCTTGATGCAGAGCCCAAAACATGTTTCTAAATTCTTGGCGCTAGGCCGCAGCTCTTCTGGAGACAGTTTGTCCCACTCCTGGCACAAGGTTTGCTTCAGTGACTTCAAACTTTTGTGGTGCGCAGGCCCTAGCCTCCAAAATGGACCATACACTGTAGTCTATTGGATTCAGATCTGGTGAGTACGGTGGCCATTCTGCAGACAAGATAAAATCAGGAAAATGAGCCTTGCAGCACTCCCGAGTATTCTTCACCCTGTGTGCCAGCGCTGAGTCCTTCTGAAACGTCCAAAATGCTGCTGAGCCCACTGAAGTACCACAGCCTAGAGCAGTGTTTCTCAATCTCTAACGAATCATCGCCCCCTTCAATAAAACTGTTACCTATTATAGCCCCTTTCACTTCAAAATTCTGATGCCGAGGACCAAGACTAACACCAAATTCGTACTGCATTGAATAGACTAGTGACTAGTATAATGTTATTTGTTTAATTATTGTATGATATAACGAATAAAATATCTAATTATTCTTAATACAATGTTTTACTATATCACCCAGAAAATTGTTTTTCACCCCCAAAATATAAATTGTTACTAACTGCCCCTCAACATGGAAAAACACCCACATGGGGCGATATTGCCCCGTTGAGAAACACTGGTCTACAGATTGTCACGGCGGTACATGTTTTGATTGATTTTGGCCCCTTGATCAACGAAAACAAGGAGTGTCTTGCCACTTGCACAAATTACGGCCCAAACATTGGATTTTGGCGATGTTCGATGACAACTGATCATCAGGGAGTCTCCGCAGACCAGTTCCTGTCATTTTGATGGTTATGTGCCTGAAAAGCTTCTCATCTGTGAAGAGAATGAGCTCCCATTGTTGACCTGTGGCATCTTTGGAGTCACATGCACTTGTTTTCATCAGTGAGGAGCTGATCCTTTTGGAACTTGTAGGCTTGAGTCAGAGTTCCTTATTTGCCATTAACCACACCGATTCGTGATTGATTCCGATCTCACGAGCAATTTTTCTCATGGAGATCTTCGCATGTCAGTCAACTCGCTTTTTGATGATCTTGCAGTTCCTAGACGTGTTGATGGTGTGCTTTCTTCCACATCTGGGATGGTCACCATCATGGCCAAGCTCCTTGAATCGCTGAACTGCATCCGAGACTGTCATTTTGGAAACACCGAGCAAACGAATAATTTCACATTGATGCTTTCCTTGCCAGAATATCTCCAAAATTGCACAATGTTTGTTCGACATCCTTAAAAAAATAAAGAACTAACTCTTATTACACCGAAAGCACATCTATATGGGCAGGAAATCACGGAGAATTAAACAACAGTATGTAAATTGGTTATGGTAAAAAAGTTCAGGTGCAGCATTGCTACAAACTTTGTACGGGTTAATTATTGTCACCCTGTAATTACTAAATCTTCAAGTTGTACACTTTTGATTATTTTAACATGACATCTTACTGTCAGAGTTAACAAAACCAAACTGTCCACTGATTTTAGTGGAGTATATCTAGTAATATGTTTATCTTGCATAACATTATTGGTCAATCACATCAGGATAGGCAACTCCCAAAGTGATTCTATATGAACAAGAAAATTCTATTGCATTAAAATACTTTGTTTACCTTTCTATTCCAACTTGTAGATATTTCTTTATCTAATTTTACGGTGGCAATTATCAATTCCTCTTCTTTCTTCTTACCTGAAGCTTCGTCCAAAAGATTTCCCTGAGTATAAAATATTTCAATTCTTAACAATTTTGTAAATATGAATGAATTGCATTTTCAACATATAAATTTATTATAAATAATACAAATGCAATGAAACATTGGTAGCAAAAATATTAATATGTAACTAAAAACTAAAACTAATGGAAGAAATTCACCCAAAAATGTAACTCTGATGTAATACTACAAGTAGAATAAGTGATAAATATCAAATTTAATTTTAATGATAATACAAATACGCCTACTACACTTTTCTTACTTTATTTGATATCAAAATTCTCTTTCTATAACATGCTTAGGCAATGCCTTTGATTTTATTAGCCTTAGACTAGTGATTAGCAAATCCACTACTGTTGAAAACCAGAAAATATTGGTACTCATGGCTCAATGCCACATTTTCCTGAAAATAAGCCTTAGCATGATTTTTCAGGATTCTCATAATATAAGCCCTACCCCTAAAATAAGCCTCAGTTGGGATCGTCAGACAGATACAGGCAACCCCCCTATAACACTGTTGATTATTCCGTTTTATATGAATTCCATGTTGTACGAGTCACTTAAATTTTACAAATACATGAGCCATTCACAGCCCAGCACACGTATTTGTAAAATCTAAGTGACTCGTACAACATGGAATTCATATAAAACAGAATTATGAACATTGTATAGGGGGTCGACTGTAGTCATATTTAATATGTCTGTTGCAACCCACCACAGATGCATCAAATTATAATAATTATTATTAATATATAATTAAATATTATTATTGACATTAATACTTAAAATAAATGATAATATAAATTACTAGCTGCAAGGACCCGCTTTGCTGGGTTTTTATTTGTATGTAATATAGTTTTTTNGTGTATAATAAAACTCTTTATTGTTTTTATAAATTGAAAACTATTGCAGGAAAAAATGGAGAACAAGTTATAGGATTATAGAGGATTAATTAACTTGACACTGATACTGTAATACCATTTGCCTGAGACCAATTGAATTTCACATCTTTGTGTTCTTACACAGTGCTATTAAAATTGTACTCTGCAAACCAGTGGTAAGTTTTATAATTATTTTTATTTAATGTCTCAAAGTACTGGTCCATGAACATAAAAAGTTTCAGAAATGCTGCTCTAACACATGTTATATCTAATGTTTGAAATAAAGCTTTTTATTTCCAAACAGAAAAGTCTTTATATATATTATTGTTATATAACTTTAGTTCAAATTTTAAAATAAAATTATTAGTTATATACAACATGTATATATGTAAATTTAGATAACAAATCTAAATTTATTTATTTAGAATTATAAGCATTTAATCTGAATTTTGAAGTAATTTCATAATTTATTTGTTCTTTTTTTTTTCTTGGAGTTAATCCTGAAAAATAAATTGTTGTTATGAAATCTTAACTCAGTGGGTTTTGTTATACAAGGTGCGTTCCATAAGTAATCTGACTAATTTTTTCATGACACAATGATATGCCGTAGCTAGTTCTAACCTGCTGTGCTAGGTGGTGTGGGGTATTAGCTTCAAAACTCGCCTGGACCGTGTTCAGTAACGCAGAACACCTAAGTTAGAATTCTGAGTGGCTTAGTAGGCGGAGCTAAGAATACATAAAAGAAGCTAGTCGTGGGAGGAGTCAAGCAGTAGTCAGAAACGAGTTCAGCATTGTAGCATAACTAGACTTAGCTAGAATTCTGCGTTACTGAACATGGCCCTGGTCTTGTTTGCCTCCAAGCTGCCGGCGTGTGAGAACGTTCGTTCCTGTGAACCCCATTTTTAGTTAATGTAGCATGGATCAATGGATCATTTTGTGGAGCAATATTACGCTATCAAATTTTGCATTAAACTTGGGAAGTCTGCCACTGAAACTTTTACATTAATTCAGCAGGCCTTTGGGAGTGATTGCTTCTCCAAATCACAAGTCTTTTGATGGCACAAGTCATTCAATGATAGCCGATAGGAGGTCACTGATAAACCTTGCAGTGGACGTCCATCAACATCCCGAACTGCCTTCTTTGATGTCAGAGGCATTAACCACCATGAATTCGTACCTGTCGGGACCACTGTAAATGCAGCTTTCTACTTGGAAGTGTTCAAAAGACTGAAATCCTAGTCATGCATTGCCAAAGTGACATCAAGGACACGTGGAAACTTCATCACAACAATGTGCCAAGCCACAGCACCTTCACTGTCAACAATTTCCTGGCCAGGACCCACACCCCATTGGTTCCACAGCCACCTTACAGTCCTGACCTGGCTCCCGCCAACTTTTTTTTTGTTTCCCCGCATGAAAGGGAAACATTGGGACACGATTGAAAACATCAAGGCTTATGTTACATCAGCTCTAAAGGACATTCCAGAGAAGGCTTTCCAGAATGCCTTCCAGGCCCGGAAACACCACCTTCACAAGTGTATCAATGCAGGAGGGTGTTATTTCAAAGATTTTTGACTAATTGTAAAAATATGTTCAATAAATGATTTTTTATGAATTTGGTTGCATTACTTATGGAACGCACCTTGTATAAGTGTTACGGTATTACCAGAAATGTAATGAATGCAATATTTATCAGAACATGCAGTCACTCAGGAGTTCGAAAATTTCTCAGCAAATAGGTCAGACGTCACATGACCAATACGAGCGACTTGCACTGGCCAAGTGGTATTTTGAGGCAGTCGCACGACTGAGTGACGTCAAAGCGGGATCACGCAACACAATTTGTACATGTCTGCAATTCCAATGTGACACTCCACGATGGAAATAAACGCAACCAACAATGAACCAAACAGGGCAATTGGCAAGTAGTCTTATGGCTGTTTTGTTTATAGCATTTTCTGTATGGTTTGGCAACAAAAAATTCTACGTATCTTCAAATTTTGGTCAAATATCTCTCTTTATAAAAAAATACCCCAAGAGAGAAAGAGGTGCTATACTACCTCTATAGACCCCGAGTGCAAGTTACTCGTGCGCCACCCTGGCAGCAAATATTTATATAACACATAGGAGAAAAATCCAAAGGGTTTCTTCTATATATGAACCCTTACCAAAGAAAAAAAAAAGGGGGTTTTTTTGTACAGAAAATCAAGTAAAAGTTTTTAATTTCAAATTACCAAATTTTAAATGTTTTAATAAAATATACAATTAAAAAATAGAACTTTCATTAACTGGAGTGTAATTTTCCTCTTTTAGTCAATAATGCCTAATATGCCTAGTGGTTTTCAACCAGTCCACACCAACAAATTTTTTACATCTTCGAGATGGAAGAAAGGAATTTACTTGCAAAGGCTAAGCATGTAGCTGCAATTAAAGAAATTAAAACAATGGAGGAAGTGCAGTTACAGTTACTTGCCTACTCCAAATGAAAATGAATGAAAAATCATTATATTTGTATTAAGGCATTTATTACATTTAAATTGCTAATTTGCACTTTTAAATAATTTTAGATGTCAGCATAACCTCTCTGTAATAAACAAACAGGATGATTTGCATGACAACAAAATTGTATATCGCTACTTTTATTAAGCTATATACTGTTGAATTTTTCTTTAATAAAAGTATTTCATACTTGTTTTGCAAATTATTTTTAATATGAATTAATTTTCAGTTATCAGCAGATGGAAAAATAGTTACAGCAATGTGTAAGTGCAAGGGAGGTATCCATGGTCACTGTAAACATGTAGCAGCAACAATTTTTGCATTAAATAATTATAAAAACAAAAGTGTACTAGTGAAAAACAACAATGGTGAAAAACAACAAACTTCACAACATAAGATATACATATCAGGTGGATGTCGCCTTAGTAATTGTGTAATTCCAAAAAGGATATAAATACATCATCATTATCATCAAATGCACCAACATTTTTATTATATCAAAAGAGTAAAACACATTAATTGTGCTCTTTATTCAATGTTGAGAGCTGAATTCGATGAAGATGCACAATGTCAAAGGCTACTATCTGATTTAATCAACACAGTTCATGAAAAACATGAGGAATTATATTTTAAATCTTTAATTACACCATTATTTGAAAGTAAATGTATGAATAATTGTTATAAAACTGTTGAAAAACTACCTAATAAACATAACATTTTAAAATGGATTAAACTGTTTTAGTTTTATCATTTCAGAAAAATTATAAAATTTTGGAATGATAATGTGATTATCACACTTCCAGAAATTACTCAAATAGCCTATCTCACAAGAAAACAAAGCACATGTCCAGATTGGTTCATTTACAAACGATACAGATTAAGCAGTTCTATGGCTCATTCTATAAAAACAAGAAAAAGCAATTTTGAAAAACTGACTTTTAGAGTCTTAAATAATACATCCAAGGAAACAATTGCAACTGATTATGAAATTAAATTGGAAAAAATTGCAAAGAATTCATTTTCGCTTATAAAAATATTAGAATATAATTGATGCAGAAGTTATCATTTGTAACAAAGCACCCTGGATTTGTGCAAGCCCTTAATGGTATATGCAAAAATGGAGATAAAATAAGCTTACTCGAAATTAAATGACCTTACACACGTAAAGATTAAAAAAATTGTCGATTTCAAGACAAATAAGGTATTTTTAAAATATTTAGAGTTTAAAAATTCTAAACTTTATTTAAAAGAGAATAGCATGAGTGAAGATCTTAGTGATGTTCTTCCTGAAACTCTGTCTTGTTGAGTTGGTTTCCGTGTGTATCAGGATTCAATATAGTGATCCAGGTTCAATGGAAAGCACACCTCCACACTCAAATTGATAATATTTACAGATTCTATATGCAGAAAATACAAGTTTGAAAACATAATATATATACAGGATAACAATGCGTGGTGACTCACGTACTAGATTGGTTTCTGGGAACTGTTAAACTTTGGAGAAGCCTCAGTCAACTTGTGGAGTTGGCTCAACTGCACAGTCAGTCCAATCTCCGCACTAACCAGTCCTGAGATGTTTACCAGAGGAGAACACTCTCTCTACTCTCAGCAGGTATCCCAAGTGACTGAGACTACCGTATACCTGTCTCTTGTCCTTCTCTCCTCCTCTCTCGTTTGCTCCACAATTTAAGGGTTTTTTGGACAGGGACTTCCAACCAATCACAAATCTTTCTTGTCCGAAGAGCTTTAACCTAGGTCCGCTGTTATCCAACGAGAGTCAAGCTTACAGTAACATCCGCCGCTTTTTACATTTAGTTGTTTACCATATGGCAAATGGTCTATCCTCTGATCACAGGTGGGTCTAATTGACAAAGTTGGCGCTTCCTTTGTTTTCCCTCTGTTTACAAGTCAACACCTTACAAGTGGTATTACCCGACCACACGTGGGTCCAATTGACAAGGTCGTGCCTCTTTTGTTCCCTCTCTGCTAAAAGGTCAATACTTTACAGCATGTATTATACACAAAATCCAATTAGCTTTATATGTAACAAATATTCAATTTTCTTATTTATTTATCTATAGTGATAAACAAAATGTAATTCTTAAAGTGGAAAAAGATGAGACATTCATTTGTTCACTATTAGAGAAGATGCAAATGTTCTACTTTTAGTTATTATTTATCTGCAATTGTAAATAGTATTTAAGTAAATAGTTCTAGTGTTTTCACAATAAAAAAAATTCACTCATTTATAATTGGAGGCTGCATTGAAGTCCCGAAGGGGCAATTCCAATTAAATATTTTATAGGATAAGCAGATTTATAGTAGGAATAAAACTGAATTTGATGTTGAACTGATGATGGCTTTTCAGTTTTAATTTCTGTACAGTCAATGATCACTCTTGTTTCAGGATAATTTTCTTTAAATGATTGAGGTAATGTAACCTTAATTAATAGATAATTTCCAAACACAGAATAATTTACATTTGATTTTCTCATTCTTAATATTAGAACTCAGATACAAATTAAAAAACAATAAGCGATTTACTGCACTAGGTACGGTTTTCGAAATGTCTCAGATACAATGCATATGCATTCTTTAGCTAACTCCTACGTGTTATGTAAATATTTGCCACCAGGATGGCGCACGAGTAACTTGCACTCAGGTTCTATAGTACTATTTTACACATGTTTATATGAAAGGTACTTTCTGGATAAAACTAGTTTTGAATGAGGTATTTTGGATCCCCAAATGACCAAAAAAAAAATCAGAAACCATATTTCTAATTGTGATCCTTGGCAATTTATTTGCCTCCGAAGTTTTTACACTAAACACACAACAGGCTTAGCGGAGTGCATCCCGGAAGTAGTCGGCGCAATGTCACTTCTCGTATTTTACGAGCTTTTAGCCATCTCTAGTAAAGTGGAAAATAGTTGATTTTGGCATTGTTTTGAGAAATAGTTCCAGACTTTCTCACTTTTAAATTTTACCCTATTTTTCAGGCTGTTGAAAAAATTAGATAGGCTAATTTTAGGGTGGTATATCTCACAAAGGGTCACATATAGAGATAATTCCTTAGACTTTTTTTGCTCCAACATGCATACTCTACAGCTGTGTTATGGTCCTAGCAGTGTCATTCACATCTGCAATTGTGCCACCTTTATACCCATTTCTAGAATCGAATCTTTCAAAGTAAAGAAGCTCTTCTCAATAACAATTCATTTCTGTGTAGACTTTTTGATTAAATTCAGTGAATTATTTTGTAATTTTGCGACAATTAAAGCATTAAATGTTGTAATTATTTAAATCAGATATTAACATTTGTGCTTAATTTAATATTTAATGGTATTGGAGTCACGTGTTAGATTACAAGTGAAAGTTTAGAGATTGAAACGTGAACATTTAACCTATAATCACATATTTATTATTATTAAAAAACAAAACAAAAATATACCTGAGAATACGAGTTAACATCGGGAAAACCTGGAATAATAGAATCTTCCTCCATTTCTTTTTTATAAAAATAAAAATATCAGAAATTTCGAATCCTCGTGCAGTACAAGTTTCCAGTGTTGCCANCTCTGGACAAGTACAAGTCCATTTTCGAATTGCCCTCCTTAGCAATCCAATTGCTCCCTGTGGGGCGTGGGCCCCACGTTGGGAAACACTGGTTTGTGGCTAGTGTGACACGGGATAGCGTAGATTACGTTTGTGTTTTTGGAGAGTGTTGAGTTAAATTAAAATAAAAACAATGCCGACAAAAAAATTTAGTAGTGTAATATGGAAATATTTTACGATAGTAAATGACGAATGTGCTATTGCTACCTATCTTTAAAATTTCATATAAGTAATGAAATTCATTAAGATAAAAGATCCGTTAAAGATCCGCTAAAAAGTAACGGATACGGATACGGATACGGATTTTTTTTTTCCCTCGATATCCGCGGATACGGATACGGATACGGATATCCGGCACATCACTAGTCTTATCCGGATCCACAGGGAGATAGGCTGACGCCTTAACCGCTTCAAACGTCTAACTGTTCAAATCTACACGATATGTTTCTTGTTGGGGTATTCTAATGAAAATATTAGTAAACTTGGGTACGTTTGAACGCGTGTTGAGAATCGCTGCAGTTATGTTAGGAGTCAAACGAATCTTCGCTTCGTACGTCATAGAAGATAATTTATGTCGTGAATTTCAACTTTTCTTCTTTTAGACACAGAAAAAAACTAATTTAGGTAGACAATTGCCTTAAGACCGGCAATGGTTGGATGGCCGAGGCGGTCAACCTTCAGTCTACCTCTCTGGGGATCTGAAATCGAATTCGAAAGAACATCCCCGGGAATTTTTTATACGTCTGGCTTTGTTATAGAAAAAAGGGCACTCTTAGTGCCTACAGGACGGAAAGAGCTAAGCTAATAAAAGAACGCAATGTACCGTACGTCACCATATTTAACGGCGGTCTTCTGTTAAAGTATAGAGTTTGAATTTCTTTTTTATGACGTAACATGAAAAAAATTTATACATTTTAATGAATTTTAATTATTAAATCGTCGTGTAATCAACAAGGAAGATTCAACAATTATTTAAAATATTGCTAAAGGAAGCAGTTTATTCAGGAAAATTGAAGCGATCATTTTTCTTCGCGATCTTTACGTCATTTGTTATCTAAGCAGGTTCTAAATTATAAAGTATCAAGGACGATTGAACACTATATTATTAATTTTTTACACAAAAAATAGCAGAAGAGATTTTCTTTCGTACAAAGGGAGAATTTGAAAAAACAAGCAAATCACTTTAGGAAAATGCACCTTCCTATGTTTTATCAGAATCGTGAGATATTCATTACAGGAGCTACGGGCTTTCTAGGAAAGGTAAATTACACTTGATGTACAATATTTTATGTAATAAACGTATGTTTTTAATATAAACAATTGTAATTGCGTGTAGATTTTGCTGGAGAAATTACTAGCATCTTGCAACGTTAGAAAGATTTATATTTTAGTAAGGAGCAAAAATGGCATCGGAATTGATGACAGAATAGAAAAATTACTCGGTGCTAAAGTAAGTCACAAATTAGTCTAATTTTTAAGACAAACTTTATGTAAATTCTAATCTTCTCAATGTAGATCGGGCTTTAACTATTAGTTAATTTAACGAAAGACAAAGTTTTTATTAATTTTTCTCCGAGAATATTTAATTCGGCAAAATAAAATAAAATTACATTATTTATAAGACAACTAGCAGGTTGCCCGGGCAAAAAAAAAAAAAAATAAGTAAAAACATTAAGATAATTAAATTATTTCGTATGTATAACCCTTCTATTATATTATATTATAGTATTTGATTTGTATAACTACAAAGGTTATCTTACGTAAAGGTTTATCACACCAGGTCTACAGTAGGCCTACTAGTATACGGTTACCATGCTACATGATAGCAGATAGAACTCAGCTGAGTGGTTCAACACTTATTAAACTAGATATAAAATAAAGTATATACATATAATTGTACTGAATATTAAATATTCTGTGCACATCAAATTGTTTGTTTATTCTAAATTCTAGAATAACCAAACAGTTTGATTTTAGTACAATATTTGCTTTTAGCAAACATTACACTGAACTAAAGAAGAAAAAACGCAAACATTTTATTTTGAGATTCTAAAAAGCAAGGGTTTTTTTATAATATTAAGTATATCTACTTATAGAAGCTTCTTGGTTACTTAGTTATGTAACAGAGCGAGGGTCTAGAAAACTTTCTCTCTATGCCTAAATCGACATGACCAGATTTTTATTAGTGCTCGGAGTGGCCTGGCATTATCTCCGAACACAAATATTTATACATATTTTTATTTATTTAGTTAGTTTTCGCACTAAATGAAGCAAGATATATTGATATTTCTTCGTATACCACGAATCCGGGTGTATCTGACGGAAGAGTAACTCGTTTCCACATTGCCATTCGCTCATTTTATATTCTCAAATTTGGCTACACAGTTTATATTTAGAAGATAACGACTATCTTCTATTAATTTAAAAAAAAGAAAAAGCAATTTTTAAAAATTAGATATTATAATTCTTGTTCTTGAAGATTTTCGATAGGTTAAAGCAATCGACACCTGATATATTGAATAAAGTATACTACATCGATGGGGATGTGACGCAAGAAAATTTAGGAATGTCTTCTTCAGACTTGGATTTAGTGAAGAAAAACGTTTCTATAGTTTTTCATCTGGCCGCATCAATTAAATTCAACGAATCTTTTCGGTAATTTTAGACTAATCTCTACTTTTTGTTGAGTAATATATAAAATTTTAAATTATTTGTCTTTTTTTTTAGAAATTCATTTATAAATAATGTGGAGTCGACAAAGAATTTAGCCGATGTTTGTCGTCTTATTGATAATTTAGTGGTAATTATTTTCTTACGTTCGTACCATGATATCAATATATTAGATATAAAATTATAACGCTTATAACGAGAAACTAATGGAATCAAGTGATTTTTTAAAACTCTTTCCGCTCTGTGAGCACGAAGATGGCCTTTTATGCAATCCCATTATGGGTTCGGGACTCAACTTATCTGACTAACGAACCCTCGAAAAATTCCCGGGGTTTCTTTAACCGTCCTAATTTGATCCCGGGTCCTTCAGAGCAGTAGGTTGCCATTTTGACTTCTTGGCCATCCGGCCGTCCGGAATTAAGTGCTTATGTATTTACAGCTGTCAATTTATTATGTATCGATCATTACGCGTACTGCTTATGGTAAATTACAATCAAATATTACTTGAAAGTCAAAGAATTTGAATAAATTAAAAAATAATTATTATATTTCGTTACGGTTAATACTTAAGGAGAAGGCAAACGCGATATGAAACATAATTACATTTTTTTAAAACTTTTTCCGCCCTGTGGGCACTAAGAGGGCCTCTTTTTGCAAGCCCATTATGGGCTCGGCCAGGCCCACGATGGGGCTGCCGGGTGGTGAGGGATGGGGCCCGACATATCCAAACGGACCACCCCCCCGAAGCCCGGGTCCGGGTCCTCAAGAGCGGTAGGCTGCCACCTTGACCGCTCGGCCATCTGGCCGCCGACATAATTACACTATAACCTGGACTCTGAATAATGAGTGATTTAAACTCCGACACCATTATTATTAGAACCCAGAATGGCGGAGCTTTAGTAGTAATAAAGTAGTAGCTTTGAAGATCTGAAGACCCCGGACAGAATCCTTAGGGATTTTCATGTGTAATTGTTTGTCTATGGCAGCGGTTCTCAACTGGGGGTACATGTACCCCCAGTTGAGCAGGGGTACGAGCATAAATCGAAGGGGTATATCTAACTTTCATTATAAAATGGCGTATGTTAATCAATTTGATGTAAATTATTAACACTTCTTGTGTTATTATTTGATAAGTATATTATATATAGATGGCTGAAATGTATTTATTTATACTACTGGTCTAGTTAGTTAGAGTTTTTTATGGCTCTCAGTTATAAGCAGTAATTATAAAATTTACATACAAAAATATAAGGGGTACTTGAGAAACAACTAATGGACTAATAGGGCTAATAGGGTACATCAACAAAAAAGGTTGAGAACCACTGGTCTATGGAGGCATGGCCGAAGTCTTGTTGAACATGAAACGTATCCTCTTAGTATTCATTAATACAATGGAATCGAAGACAAGGAACAACATTAAATAAATACATAAAACCTTACTGAAGTTCCGATTCCGAAGAGATATCAATGGAATTGCCTACTTTAAACTATTAAATCTTTCATTTTTTATTTTAAAATGTCTTTTTATTTCAACAAATTACATGCAGTGGTTGAAAATTCAATAAAAATATATATTTTTTAATTCTTAGGCTTTAGTTCATGTATCAACAGCTTTTAGTAACTGTCAAAGAGTAGAAATTAAGGAGAAAATTTATCCAATACCCATGAGTTATGAGACATTAAAGGATGGTTTAAAGTAAATATAAGGATAATTGTTTAAAATAAAGACAAGCATTTGTACATTATTCATTACTACAACTAATTTTAAAACGTTTAAAATTATTTAGCGATGATTTTATGGAAATATCAACCGAAAATGTTTTAGAAAACCGACCTAATGTGTATACATTGACGAAAGCGATTGCAGAAAACTTATTAAACAACAATTACAGAGACTTGCCTCTCGTTATCGTAAGACCTTCCATTGTAGGCTGCTGTTGGAAAGAACCTTTACCAGTGAGTTTTAAACATATTTTTTTAAATTAAAATTACATTTTAAAAAATAATTGATTAATATATTTTGTATATTTAGGGATGGAACGATAGCTTGATCGGTATTAATTCCTTCGTTATAGCTGTAAGTGCAAATTAACTTTTTGAAGTGAAAAAAGAAGTACAAAAATAATAAGGATTACATTTCAGATCACAAAAGGTATTGGACTAAACATCTTTACAAGTGAAAATAAAATTTGTGATATTATTCCAGCGGATATAGTAATAAATGTACTATTGTCTGCAGCTTGGAAGAAGGCTTTGGCACCTGACGAAAGGTAACGCATATTGAATATGTATTCTTTCTTTAAGAATTTGAATTTATATAATATTTATAGTTTCCATTCTTCACCCAGTGGCCGAGTGGAGAAAAAAAACACTAGTTAGTTGGTCATGGATTCGGGCCTTACCAACGGGTGGGCACGTAGAGATTTTCGGGTTTACTTCACTTGTATAACATGTATACAACGGTTAGATTTCCACGAAAGTCCTCTCGAGAGCCAATTCCTTTGGCAGATTGCCTACGTGTTGCGTTGCCTTATAAACTATCAATTCAATCTAATAATTCTCCACCCGATTGGGCCGATTTGGGTCAAGCACCAAGAAATTTTCATGAGTAAATAAATTACTGTTATATTTCGGGCCTTCATCACTTTTATATTGTGAGCATAGACGAACGTCTAGCTTACAATAATGAGAATTTAGACCTATTGTGACGGGCATGTAAATGTAGTCCTTTTAAGATAGAAAGATTTTGTGAGTTTCTTCTTAAGAGAAAAATTTATAATTAAGAGGCATTAAGAGAAAAGTCCCAACATCTATTTGTTCATTTATTTTTACAGTTCAGAAGAAATTCCAGTATATAACTGTATTTCAGGAAATAGGAATCCTCTTGACTGGTTAAAATGTATTCAAATTATAAAGAAAAATGCATGGATTTATCCTTCGCAAGAAAATTGTTTCTATCCATATTTTAATGTTCAGCACAAATATTATTGGCATCAATTTTGTGTCTTGATAGAACATACACTACTGGCTTCTTTTGTTGATGTTTTATCAATTGCTATGGGAAGGAAACCATGGTAAATTTTAGTTAAATAATTTTGTAAATTATGGTAGTTATACACATATAAATATTTAATCTTTACATTTAATTTAGGTTATTTAATAGTTACAAAAAAATGAAGAAAGTAAATGCTGCTTTAGAATACTTTTATACTCGGGAATGGAAGTTTCATTCTGATAACACTGAAAAATTAAACGAAATGATGTCACTAGAAGATAAAAAGGTAACTTATATTGTATAAAATTATTAAAAATGTGCTTCTTCGGGATTCAGGTGTGAGTTCGATTCTTATATTACGGATAATACAGGTGGGAAGCCATTCTCTATCCCTTCCCATGCTAGTCCTTGTGACTGAAGTCAAACTGTGTAGTAAGGTCAAGCTCTTCCGTACATATACATTGATGTCATCGTAACTTGAAAAATGTGACATTATTAAAATTGAATATATTGATCTCGTATCACGAACGAATTAAATAATATGATTTATTTTAGAATTTTAACTGCGATGTCGGAAAAGTCGATTGGAATGATTACTTAAAATGGTACAGTCTTGGTATCAGGAGATACGTATTGAAAGAAGACGATTCTACCATTATCCAGACTAGAAAACGTGTTATGAGGTAATCATTGCTTATTTATCTTCTTAAATACAGTAGAGACCCGCTTTTACGTGTCAAGACCCGAATAAAGGCAAGTTTTCTACGGAAAGTCCCTCCTAAAAGGATCTCCCTGGCAGATCGTGTATCGGTTTCCCATCAAAGCAGACCAAAGTAGGGTCGTAAAGTGGAGGTGTTCTTCGTATAAGCTGTATCGTGAGATCGTACCCGATGAACCTGCCGGCCACCCAGCAGTGGCCGACTGGATAAAACTATCGAACACTGGTTATTGGCTGTGGGTTCGCGCCTGACCAATGGACCGGCCAGGTGGAGTTTTCCGGGTTTTCTTCACGTGTCGAACACCTAAAATAAGGGTCAGTGTTCTTTAGGAATTTCTTTCGAAAGGCGTCGTGTATCCCATCGAAGTAAATCAACGTGCGGAGGGAAATATGACAATTTGTTTTGAGTTTTTTGATAATTTTTATTATTTATTTATATCTCATTATATTTATTATTCTTTTTATTTTCAGGAATTATTTCATCGTTTTAATTGCCAAAGTTGCATTTTTCTTGGGACTGACTTATCTTATTTTTAAAGTTCTGGTTATGTAAATTAAAACGAAATGATAACATTTGAAATATTTTTAGATATTGTATCACGGTCTCATATAAAATTATATTAAAATATACAGATTTATGTTACTATAACAGTTTTATTCATAATTTTCTACATATTTTCAAATGTTTAATCGATTATATTTTGCCTGGTCTGCATTTTAAGGAGATGAACGTTAACATTTCATACGAATGAGTTTAATGAATATCATTTTCCGTTTCCTTTGCAGTAACAGGTTCCATATCGGCAATGCTTAACAACCATGCACTCGCTTTTACAATCGTTATCATTGTAACAGTACTTACTTTCTACTTCACTGATCGGAACTGCAAAGATTAATATTAATTCATACGAGTTAAACTATATACATTTGCATAGAATACATAACTCACCTACTGTTAAGACCAATACAGTAAGAAGAAGTAAAGCAACGATCTTGTTCATCTCGTTTCCCTTTACTAAAAATACACCAATTGATAAATATATTAGAATAAAGTGAAGCGCATTAATTCGTTTTGTTCATCGGGAGTGAACGGACATATGGACGATCTTACACACTACGAACAGGTTCAAATCATTAATGAATCATTGTATACCCGATTCAATTAAGAATATTTCATAGAAATTTTAAATTTTCTTAGATTTTTAAAACGAATTTCTTAATTAAACTCAGAATGAATTTCCGTTCAATCGTTCCATTACAATCTTTTTATAAAGAATAAATCTACTTACTTGTTTATACTTTGGAAACAAAAAGCTAAATATCTGCTTATATACCGTCTGAAGAATAAATGAGACTATAAACTAGTTAAATACGCCATAATAAAAACAAACATTAAGCAATCATCAAAAGTATTTAATAGCCTATAAAGTAATTAAAATTTCTGATGTAAAATAAATGTGGCTCGAAATTTTTATCCATCCATTTCTTACTTTTCCGGTTGAAAAGTATGGCCATCGGTCAAAGAAATGACCACCATTTTACATTTTTGGACTCGTGAACCCTGAGGATTTTTTCTGTACTTGCGGAGAAAGGCACGATTTTTTCACCCGCTTTGAAGCTTAATAACTCCCGTGCCTTTTGTCGAAAATATCTAAAATTTCGCAGGGAAGTTTGAGTATTAAGGGCAGTAATGTTATTAAATTTTAGTGGTTTAAGGTCTAGAGGGTGGTAAGATAGAGAAGGGAGTCGTGTGTCATATCGCGAATGAGAGGAACTTAATGAAGATTTTACTGGTTATTAGTATTTACAACTTTTTATAAAACTCGTCTCTACCTGAAAATTAAGCTTTTTACCTTGTGTAAATACGGAACAATGAATTTTTCGGATTTCGGTGCTAGGTGACTTCACAAGAAAATCGAAAATTTTTAAATATATTTTTAAAATACAAAATGATATATTTTTTTCCCCGAGTATTGTCTGAATAATATAAATTTCACGAAATTTCGTCACCACTTCTCAAATTGGCGGATAAGAAGAATACCGAACAAACAATTATACAGACTTTTATTGGTAAATTTGGATTTGTTCTTTAACGATAATTACCAGCCATCTGTTAAGATAACAAGTAAAACTTACAGTTTTATGCCAATTTTTACGGGAATTTTTATAGATAAGTCACGATAATGAAAAATATTAATGCAATAACATTTTTTTCGGAATGATGTAAAGGAAGCTTACGGAGACTGTAAGTTACTTAATGATCGGGATTGGATGGATGGAAGAAGGCAACACAAAAATATGGTCTCTTCCGGACTATATATATATAACGTGACTTTTGTCTATTTATTTTGACATAGTCACAATGCCGGACTGCAATTTTTAATCATATTTTTAATTTATTTAATTTAAAATATATGGTCTCCGCCTTCAAATTACTAGTAGTGTCTTGCCCTCGTATATACTTTTCCTTTAAAAATAGAGTCGTGCCGGTCATCTATTAACTGCTTTCGCGGGAAAAGTTTTGTATTGAAATAAGATAATTTTCGGTTTGCGTCGGAAGTTACCGCGAATAATCGGGACTTTCTGCCCTGAGGTTTCGTATCTGGTTTCGACATTCATCTATGTAACTCCGTTCTCCAGATTAAGGAAAGATAGACGGACAGACGGACGGACAACGGTTGGAATTTATAGGTCTACAATTTTTTCAAATTGCAGCCCAATTAATTAAGAAAATTGCAGCGAATTATGTGAAAAAAATGGTCCATACTACAAATAAACAAAAATTTATATGCTGATGATGAAAACACCAAAATTTTGTAAACTTTTACGTCAAATTTAACATTATACGTGATGTATAAATGTTAGTATGTATGTGTGTGTGGGGCACAGTTTTGTTCACCCTCTTTCAAGCTCAATAATTCCTGTGCTTTTTATCGAAAATTTTTGAAAAATTTCAGAGTGGTTTACTTATTAGGGGAATCGATGCTATTAAATTTTGAGGTTAAAGGTCGAGGAGTTGGGGAGATAATGGAATTTACGTGTGTCTCCAGTAAGGTCGGTCTTAATGACGATTTTACTCGTTATTAGCATTTACAATTTTGTTTTTTTTTTTTTTATAAAACTCATTCCTACCCTCAAAATTAAGGTTCTTGCCATTTTATAATAGTTAAAAATATAAAAAGTTTTTAAAGATAAAATGTGATAACGGATGACACCACCAAAATTTTAAACGTTGCCGGGAAAGTTGCGTAACTCGTTGCTGATTTATTTCATATTTTAATCGAGAATTTTTCGTTTGTCCTTTGAAGAAAATTGCTAAATATTTGAATTAGCGCATTTCACTAATATTACATGTGCAAAAAATATATTAGCCTATATATCATCCATTCCATGGAATAATTTTAACACATACCATTAATACTAAATAAATCATGTTATGTGTATACGAAGCGTACTGAAAGTGCAATAACAAATGGTAATTTCTTTCATCACCATCATCCTATATGCATTCTATAAAGGACAACATCGGTATACAAGAAACTCTCCTTAGACGCGTTACATTCATCTTACAGCGCTACATTTTCTTCTCTCGGCGATATTCGGAAAAAAAATTTTTTGATTGAATTCTATTCTTCCTCGTTTTGAATTTACTAATTTTGTTTCTAGTTGTTTTGTGCAGCTTTAGAAAGTCTAGAATAAAAAATAATTAATTAGGCTATAAATCACTTTGTGCGCGCTGATAGAGGACCATGTAGATTATTTGGCCAGAACTCTTGTCTTTTCGAACATTTGAATACTTAAATGTGGGCTACGATTGCGCGTGTCCTCTGGAAGCAAACGGGTATTTTTTTCACTCATTGGATCAGGAACAAGATCGTAGAAGGTATATATTCTAAAACCTTTGACTGGAGTTCTAACCGACGGTGGGGGTGTAGAGGTCAGAACCTTATAATTCCCTAAGAAATAATTATGATTGTGACAGTCAGCCCTGACGAGAGGGGGATAACAGAGTAAAATTCGCTGGACCAGGACATCATTCCACAATTTGTTTTTAAGCCATAAGTCGCCATTTTATTTACAATATTGCTTTAGTAGTAACTATAGTAACGGCTTCGTGGTGTTCTCGAGGCAGAAAAGTCTCGTGAGTACCAAAAATAAAAGTTTCCGTTTTTGTGGGGACCTACAGTGTAAATGGTAGTGAAACACGAAATAAATAATGACTTTTCTGAACTCTATTCACAACGAATTTATTTATTATTAATTAATTAATTATTATTAATATTTATTTATTTTACGAATTTATTTATTATTATTAATATTATTAAGAGATTATATTCTTGTAGATAATTTTTAATACTTTTTACAGTAACATTTGTTATCTGCACACTCGCCAGAGGTTTGGAAGACTCTCTTGCAGAAATTTTTACATTCGCCTGGTACATTACTTATGCATTTTTCACTCCTGTAGCTAATAGCACGACTGCACGTAACTGTAAGCGAAAAATATGACCAATAAAAAGTACTTTGCACAATGTATAAAAAAATAAACGCACAAAGGCCGTACTTACTCATTGTTTGGACGAACATAGTTACAATAAAAAGGCAAAGAAACAATTTCATCTTGCAGATCCTCTTCTACGTTTTGCAGTTTCAGAAATGGATGAAACAAAATACACGCAGGAAAAGTTGGTATTGTATATATACATTACATAAAGCAAATGCTCTACACGCGTATATTGTACAGTACCATTAATGTTTATGAACATCTGTTATGTAAATACGTCTTTATGATAGGCTTATTCAATTTATAAAAGTTTTATTATGAGCTATTACGATATTCGGGATGTTATAAAATTTAATCGGCTACAGAAGATTTACCTGTTATATTCGAAATTACAGTTATAAATAATTAGAGAAGTGGAAAGAAATACAATTTAGATAATAAGAACTACGCTCTCGCTACTTTTACTGTAGATCACAGGTTCTTAACCTTTCTTCACTGGCGTATCACCTGATCCTTCTGTATATTGACTCGTAGCACTAACGAATCCTTCTCGTACAGTACATCACAGGTAGTACGTATACCACTTATTGAGAACTTGCTCTAGATTATTAAAATATGTTTTCATTATTTTCTTATTAAACGGATAATCGGGAGAAATAAACGCATGTTTATGAAATTATTCGTTAGTACAGTGTTACTTTGAAGTATAAATTGTTCAAAATCTTAGTGGCATTCCTTTTATTAACACTTATTTCTATATAAAAACACACTGCAAATTGAAATTATCGTAATTATCTCCGAATATGTAGATGTACAGGTACCTTTTTTACTTTTTTAACTCTCTCTGCCCTTAGAGCACTAAGAGATTTTATTTAGCAAACCCATTATGGGTTTGGTAAATAAAACTTCTCGTTCAAATAATTTTGTTCAACCTCTTATCCAAATATTCTCTATTCAATAGCGGATGCAGAAATATTTTTAGAACGTAGAAAAAGAAATAATATGCTTTATTATCTGAAGTACTCTGTTTTACTCGAGGAAAACCCCAGAAGGGGGATACAGCCGCGCCCTATGCATTCCCCTAAACCCGCTCTTGTATCTAGCCTTCTAAGCTATGAACTGTAGACACGAGAATAGACTTACAAGGTAGAGTTATAGATGAGGGAAAAAGGGTTTTTATACAGGTGGACATAGGGACATGTCTGAATAAGCGGAATACATTTGTAATGTTAGAACGGTAGAGGTACCCTTCGTGTGCTAGGATTTTACACATATCCTCCAAAAGGAAGACGTGAAAGCGAGTTTGTAGAGGTAGGATGGACTGTAATACTGTAAAAATCTTAGGACTGAAGTATATAATACCACACCTAAAAGTTAGAATCTCGGGACAATTAAATATATTTATAAAACTGTAAGCATAAGCTTCTTTTTCGTTCGAAGATAAAAACAGAATTTAATTGATGAGCATCATTTATAATACATTTAACGATATATTGATATGACGTGTTATAAAGGAAGTTATTTTGATAAATTGATCGATAGGAGGGTCCCTTCTCTAATTTATGTAGATTAAACAGGTTAACGGCGTTTTTAACCTTAAACAGATTGATATTCTCTAAAAGTTTCCTTATTATGTAGAAATGATTGTGATAAACTAAACAAAAATCAATTTTTGTATACTTTGTTTAATACAAACATATAACCTATACGAGTAGAAGCAATGCTGACTATTTTACATGTATTTTTTCCCCTTCAACTCTTCACCTTAAAGGGCATTAAAGGCCTCGTTTAATGCTTACTGATTTAATGAGTTTGGCTCGGACCATAATGGAAGTGGTTCGGTAACGAGGAAATTTTTTGAATTATATTTATATAAACTTCACGTGTAGAAGAAACACAAGATATTCACATTCGCTCTTCTCACATCGTCTTTCTTCTACATGCGAATTCTAAATAATCCTCAAGATTGTCTCACAGATGGCAGTTGGCACTCTAATTGGATTACTTTTGTGTATAATTTTAATCCGCACGCGGTGACCGTGGAACCGCCGATTAAAATTATTCGTATATAGAACGAATGTCTCGCTTGCAGCGCCAAAAATACCACAATGGAGCTTCCGCACGTCCCGAAATGTCACCATACCAGCTTTTGTTGAATTTAGACTGTTAAATATCTCCACAGAGCGCATTGAACAGGAATATTTTAAATCACGATCACCCGTTACACTGTACTGTTAACGAGTACACTTTTTTTTTAAATTATAAATAATTTTCTTATTTAAATAATTTTAAAATTATTTTTTAACATTTAAATGAACGATAATTATATTTACAAATAACAAACGTCGCAAACGAATATAAGAAATTGAAAATAAATAGTTTCTAAATTTATTTTTCGTAAGAGGGCGCTCGTTTCCTAGGTGATAATTCAAAACAAACATTAGCGAAGGCATGTGTCGAGTGAAAGGAAAACAGTTTTGTCTTTTTAAATAACGACAACAAAATGTATTAAAGAATGAGATTTAAAACTTATTTGCAGAAAGAACCGAAACATATCCTTTTATGTGGAGAACGTTGCCATTTATTTTAATATTTGATGTGAATTTAATAATTTGAATTATTGAACTACATAATAAGTAGATGTTACTTTTAGTTAAATAATCTACATACGTGTTTATGAGCAAAGTAACTTCTACTCACATAAACGTTTCATAATATATACCTTTAATACTTTTAAAATTGACTAATTTGATAGTTTCTGACATAATACATCATCTATTTTACATTAATTTACCATGTGACAACCTGACATAGTAAATTAATGTATAAAATGTGTTTTTTCTGAAATTTTAACTTTCTCTGTCCTGTGGGTACTATGAGTGCATTTTGGCAAGCCCATTTGCCGGATGTATTTGCTGGGTCCGCGGTAGGGTGGTCGGATGGCGATCGGCATATCCGGTCCGAGTGATCCCAAAAAATTCCCCGAGATTTTTTGACTTGTTCGAATTTGATCTCGGGTCCTCGGAACGGTAGGCTGTTGCCTTAAAACCTCTCGGTCGTCTAGCATTTCTTATAAAGTGGTTTTTGTATGGTAAACTAATGTATAAAAAGATGGAAAGGGAATGTATAGTTTTAATTTAATTTTAAGCCAATATTTAGAACAAATTAAATTTAAAATTTAATTTGGAATTTAAAGATGTCTAATGAAATTAACCACAAATGTTTGTTTTTGTATAAATTTAATACTGGATGCTAAAGGTTTTTTTTCTGTTGTTGTAATTCTGATTTTGTATTAATTCATAGAGAAGTGATGTTTAATTTTGATTAGTATTTGTAGATAATAATGAATCAATTGAGAGACTAATGGCAAATGCTGACAGAATTTGTTTATGTAAATGCAAGTCATCAAAGGAGATGTGATTAAAATGTTTTGAGATTGAATTAAGATTTAGGAAATGAAAAATCTTATGAATTATTTGAATGGCTCCCTTATATGTATTGACACTGTATTTAGTTCTTATTTAACTTTTGAAAGCATTCTTCTTTTAGAACTGCTGATAGTTCCTATGTTATATTTCTAAACAATTTCCTATCAATGTCAGGCTTCAAGTATGGAGTGCAAAAAAGAAATAACAAGAAGGAAATTTTGGTGAGTGTAGCAGTGATAGAATGCTTTGTAAAATATTCTTGAATAGCAAAATCTGAATATGCAAGTGTTGTTATAATGCAAGCACTAATTTCAATACTTTATATTAAATACAAACTAATTCAAACTGACTCCAGATAAATAGGTATATTTTGGATAAAATTAAATAATTACTGAACAATTTGGCAGAAACCAGACTACCAGGCCTCCATTTGTTGTTATATATAATATTTATAAATAAATAAATTGATTTAAATGGTATATATAAATATATTCACCATATATTATCAGTATGGTATATATACCATGCTGTGGTACATTTTGAACATATTTCTACAAATTACAATGTCCTAACAAGTAAGATGCTGTATTAATATTTAAGAATATTTTTAAGTCATAAAACTAAAAACTACAATTTCTTTAATAATTGTGTTACATCATGATATAGTCAGTAGTGTTGCATGGTCAACAACAGAAGAAGTTTATTCCTGTAGCGATGACCATCAACTGTTAGTGTGGAATTTAGTAACAAATGAAACGACAAAATTAGCAACGTTACCCAATGATTTGTATCCGATTGAAATTCAACTCTTTCCCCGTGCCGCCGGTGGTGGTGGAGGGAGGAAACAGAGTTCGTCGGATATATTTGTTGTTACGGCTACTGACGGTAAGAATTAAATTTGGAAAATATTTATTTAATTAATAGTAAAGAGAATTAATCCATATTTTAAGATTTATTGTTTATTTTTTATTTTTAAAAATAATTTCAAATTTACAATTTATTTAATATGTAATAAGTTTATTAAATCTCATATAAAAAACTCCATAAATTTTAAAAACAAAAAAAAGCTTTTGTTTTAATAGTCTACAAAACAAAATAGTACTAGAACTTATTGCTTTCATGTTCTAAGCTTATCTGCATGAGACTTGCAATCATTTTCAGAAATACTTACACTGGTTAAAACAAAAGACGAGCATGTGACTGCTTTCATTGAGAAGTGGCAAAGCATTCTCCATAACCTTGTCAATAAACTTGTTGATTCCATTCCATACAGATGTGCAGCAGTTTTGGCTATTTAAGGAGATCATCCTACAAAAAGTCAGCACAATATTATAAAGAAAACAATTTATTTTTGTTATACAGATGCAGGTATTATTGATCAGCATATTTCTATAAGAACAATAACTGAAAATATGAGAAAAGTTTGGTTCAAATGCATATTTTTTCACATATTACTGTATATTAGTTTCCTTAGTTTCCTGATTTTCTGTAACGGGATTATGTTGATTTAAGTTATCCAGAGCGGCTTGAATCGCGTCGCCAATTGACTGGCGGTGGAGTACGGGAACTGGTTCTTAATAATCTTCTTCGGAGTTCGGCGTGCTTACGGTCGACTTCTGAGTTTCCAATTTATTTTGATCCTTTGGAGGGCTGCACGAAACAGATTGCGGCTTGGTTTTCCCCTCTCGTAGCATCTGTGCAAATGAAGCTGGCTGATTATCATTTTTGACTGCTTGAATGTCGTTGGTTTTCTTATCGGTAAGAGATGTCTCGCTTGCTAGAAGTTGTTCTGCCGAAAGATTTTCAGGTGGAGAGACTGAAAGCGGAGGATCGTCGCTCGTGCAGAGATTTACAGAGCTTGTACTTGTACTGCTGCAAGATGGAAAATGACTCATGCTATCCAAATGATATTTAACTCTGGGAAATTTTCCAAGTCTCTTTATATTACTGTATATTTTACTATATCTCATGTAACAATAACATCTGACATTCAGAACTGTTTGTTGTTGATGATTTTCTATACAACATCTGTTGCTCCTCTAATTGTTTTGACCAGTGTAGAATCAAACCTGCAAGTGTTCCTGAAGATGACTGCAAATTATTTTCTATTTTGTTTTGTATGCCATTAAAGCAAAGCCTTTTTTTTCTGTATTTTAGAAACAAATTTGTTTTTTATTATTATATTGTACTGTATATTAAATACGTAATTCCAATCAGAAATATTTAATGATAATGAACCATACTTATTTATTATTTGCTTTCAGGAAAGTTTTATTTAATCTCAAAATCAGGAAGGATTGAAAAATCAGTTGAAGCTCATCGAGGAGCAGTTTTAGATGGCAGATGGAGTCACGACGGAACTGCACTTGTAACTGGTACTGGACATATTTTAAAAATAAATTATTGCCAGCTTTGCTAGATTATGAAATTTTTGTTTCTAAAAGATAAATTTATTACACTGAAAATATTAATTAAGCAAAGTACAGTAATACCCCGACTTACGCGAATCTGGAGTTACGCGATTTTCAAATCTCATCGATTCGTCTTTTGTTTGAGCACCACGCAACTCTTAATTACTCATTTCCCCCCACACTATTATTCGGCTTACATGTTCGGACGTGTTCGACATATAGCTACAATTTATTTTGTGTTATTTGTATGTATTTATATGCAAAATTATACCCTGACTTACGCGAATTCGACTTACGCGGTTATCACTCGGTCCCACCTGTCGCGTAAGTTCGGGGTATTACTGTAGTACAGAAGGCTGAATTAGTAGAAATTTTGATTTTATTGAATCAGATATTAAAAGGAAACACATAAAATATGTATAACTTGATGATGCATATCAATTAACAAAATTCATCAAGTATTGTTTACTTATTATGATCTTTAATATCATCTAGAGTATAATTTAAGTAAGAGATGTCAACAATTTTAACTACTGCATTTTGACCAATGAACAATTAAAGTTAAAAATACATATTGAAGAAACAAATCACTCACATTTACCAGGAACAAAAATGGTTTTTAATTGCAAAGACGATCTTGTATTTGAGGCTAGTCTTTGTGAAAATACGCTAAAACAGTCAAAACATTCTTTGATGTCGATGCTAGAAATTAAAACCAAATAGTTCATTAATCAAATAATTTGTTAACTGATTTTTTAATATCTCCAACATATATTTCTAATACATAAACACTGTTGGCCAATTTTTAATCAAATTAATCAAACAATTAAAGTGATTAATATTTAAAGTACTGGTTAAAACTGGTAATTGTAACTGATAATAATTGCATGTTATCAGTAACATGTTGAGGCCGACAGCTAGAAAAGAGATCTTAAAAATGCTTATTTAACCAAAGATAATGATAACCAAATTCTAAATTACAATAAATGAAACTTATACTGTATATTTTAACTTATAAATCCCAAAACATATATTTATGATTATAATAAACAGTATATTGTATCTGTTAAACAAAATATCATACTGAATTAAGTATGCTTCTAGCTCAAATACACATTAAATAAATTGTCTCAGATCACAGCTAAATGAAAAGTGCTTATCACAGGACAAGAAAGAACTAAATTCAATTATTCAAATATAAATTTTATTAATATGGGAATGCATTTCAGGTACACAGAACTCCCTCATCAGCCCATTTAAAGATTAGACATATGGCAGTAAACACAATAAATATCTAAAATACTGTAACCTGAAATGCATTTCCATATTAATAAAAGTTATATTTGAATAATTGAGTCTGGTTTCTTCTTGTCCTGATATGTTAAGTCCCTTTTGTATAACTGTGATCTGATAGGTTATTTGTTTAAAATATTATACATTAAATTAATTATAAAGTTGATAAAAATTTAACTATAAATATTCGTTACTTATAAAATACATTTCACATTAAATTTAACACCAAAATAAGCCATGTAAAATATTAATGTTTATTATTGTTCATTGCTGACTTTAATTGAAGGTTTCATAAATAATAAATATCAAGTAATGTTTGTAAAGACTGTAAATTAAAATTACTTTAAAAAAATTAACAATTTATGTAGCAATACAGACAGATTGTTATAATTTTCAAATTTTCTGTATTTCATATTAATGTAAAGCAATTTTAACATATTTAAAAAATTTCTTTAGCCGGCGAAGACGGACAGGTGAAAATATGGTCTCGTACCGGTATGCTGAGATCGACGTTGGCCACAAATAGTATGTCTTACTATATAAAACTAAACATTTTTCATATTAAAAGTTTATAATCATCAATAAATAAACAAACAATATTTTAAAATTTTGTTACAGATATTTCTGTTTATTCAGTTGCTTGGGGTCCTAATTCAGATCAAGTATTGTATACTTTTGGACATCATATGGTGATCAAGCCTTTACAGCCTAAGGCTAAACCATTACAAGTAATTATGTTAAAATTGATTTAAATATTCAAATTGGTTCTTGCAAAATTATTAAAATTATATAACTAATTTTCAAACATAGAATTAACATTAAAAGAATTTTTATTGTTTGATGAGGTTTTCAAGATTTTAGAGTTAATTTAATAGAATGTGAATAATAATTTATTAAAAACCTTAGTTATGATTATCTAATGGAGTAGTATTTTAAATATGTTCTGTAGAACTGCAGAATTCTGTGTAGTCTTTATAAGAAATTCTTTTCATTATTTTTGTTACAAATATTGAAAAATAAAATTTCTGAACTATTTTATTTAATTATAAGAAATTTTATTACTTAGGAAATAAAAAAAAAAGCATTTGCAAAATAATTTTTTCCACACATTCTTTATTATTGCTTAGAATTCAGCAAAAATAGTACAGTAGAGTCTCTATAATCTGACATATATCAGATGTCAGATTACAGTAGATTGTTGGATTACTTGATTTTCTTTGTATATTTGTACTATACAGTAAAAATATGCACATGGTTCACAGATACAGTGCCCAGAGTGTGAAAATGTGGGGTACAAGCTATAAAAAGGAGCATCATACATTATGAAAGAGTTTTAAACTGTATGATTCAACATTGGTGTTCCCACAAAGTGGCTCTGGTTGCACTCAGGGTTAACTTGGCCTTGAAAACAAGGGGTTGTGGTCAACTTATTGCTCATGGGCTGCAATAGTGGCACAACTCCAAAAATCAAGTTTTGAGATAAATGAGTTTGAAGTTTCACCTTGTATTGAAATGCATCATTCACAGGATTCATTGATGGAATAAGTGTTAAATGGTACTAAATGGGTCCGTAAGGGTTCAATTAATAATAATATCATAAAAAATTGTACCCCCTAACCCTCCTTGTTGTTCCCAAGACCAATGTTTTGATATGTGCCACTATTGCTGAATGTTTCTAATACATTATGTTGGACTATCCTGGAGGTTGATGGCTTATGAAACAAGTGTACAGGCAAAAACGTAAGCTTTATTAATGATGTAAATAAATTATTAATGCATGAATGTTCCAATACTACATTATTAATCAACACAATGTAAACAAGAAACAGTGCCACAGAAATCCTTAACTTTATGAAAGTTTCAAAGTGAAACCTATTCTTAGGATTCAAATGTTAGGTTGTTGTAAAATGTTGAATAACATCTTGGTACTGCATTGCTGGTGATCAAACTTTGTAAATCGTCGAATTTCTTCTTTGATATTGGAAGAGGTTTGCTGTATGTTTTTTGAGTGTTACTGAAACAACTGCAAACTTTTTCTGGATCTTGAGGTTTTGATGTTTACAGTTTTAAACTCTGTTTCTTTAAAAGAAGTTTTGTAGAAAAAGCAATCCAATGATTGGTTTTCTACCTTCAGTACAGAAATGTTGTTGAAGAGGACTTTATCATTGTTAGTGTTCACAACAAAATTATGAGATGTCCTATCTGTGAGGTCCTTTACATCAACAAACTCATCGTATCCCACTTCGAACAGTTGGAAGTGGGATACGATGACCTTTTTTTCTTGCATCCTAATTAACGTTGCACATTGCAATGGAATGTAGATTGGACCTGGTTTCAGTGATTGTCGAATAGTTTTTTCTATTACAGAGTGAACACAATCACCTTTGTTTTGTGTGGGTTCCACAATGAGAAATTTGTGTGTTATCCTTTTAATTTGAAATCTTGACATGGCGTACAAGTAACAGGCAACAATGTATTTATTTTTTGCTGTCCGCAGCAATTTTCTGAATACAGTGTTATTTCTAATTCATTTGTTTTGCATGCAGGAGCTTTTTCTTCTAAAAGTTTTAACAAGCATGTTCCAATGTCAGTAGCACCTTTCTTTCTTGCCTATTGTATGAATGACAATTGTGACTTTTTATCAACTGCATGGGCAACAAACAACTTGAAACTGACAGTATACATGCAAGTCAGTCTTTCTCTGTTGCATACATCAACAAGTAGTAACACAAAAATTTTATGTACATCTATAGAGACTCTGCTGTACTTAGGTATAAAGTTTCATAGACCACTAATCTAATTCAAGAATGTGCTTATTATAATTAATGTTAGAATATGAATGTAATGTGTACATATCCACATGTAATGTAGATTTTTATAATGCAATTATAGATTAAATAATTAGATTTTTATGCTGATTTTTTTATAAATGAACAATAGAAAAAGTATGTGAATATTATTTTTTGTAGATGAACATTCTCATTAATTTTTGTAATATAGTAAAACCCCACTAACTCAGACCTGCTAACACAAAGTTTGCATACCTCAGACAAATGTTTTTGAAACAACAATTTAAAATTTGTTTACAATATAAAAATTATAAGTAAACAAGTATTTTCAAAATCCAGAAGTCTCTGCAATACCATGTGTTTTATATTACTGTAGTTAGTAACTACTAAAGACTGTATATTACTATACAGTATATTATACTGTCATAACATTTTTTGAGCTTATTTCTGTAATAATAAATTTGGCAGTAAAATTTTAGCTCAGTGAAACTGTAGAGAGCTGATAGTAATAAATTATTGTATATTATTATTTTCCACATTATTGGAGGAAACACCACACTAACTTGCACTTTCATAAACTTGAACAAACTTCATCTTCTGTTAGTCTGAGTTAATGGTAGTTTACTGTATTTTAATAACATGTAATTAGTAATCATAATTTTTCCTAAACATTATTTATTTACAAGTGAATAATGAAAATAGTAAAAAATAATAAACATATTTAGTGTAAATAATCTTTTTAGTGGAATGCTCATGAGGGATTGATATTAAAAGTATCTTGGAATCCAAATAACAATTTGATTGTATCTGGTGCAGAAGACTGCAGATATAAGGTAATACCATCATAAAGAAAATGTCATTGAAATATAAAATTTAATTAATGAATAATTTCAACACAGATATGGGATTGTTATGGAAGAATACTTTACACGAGTCAAGCTAATGATTATCCCATTACGTCTGTGGCTTGGGCACCTGATGGAGAATTGTTTGCCGTAGGTTCTTTTAATACATTACGTCTCTGTGATAAAATTGGGGTATGTTTAATTTTTATACTATTTTACTGTAATTGCATACATATTTATAATAAGATTGTTGCAGTGGTCATATTCTTTAGATAAACCTCACACTCAGAGTATATTTAGTTTGGCTTGGTCTAGTGATGGCACTCAAGTAGCAGGGGCCTGCGGTAACGGTCATGTGATATTTGCGCATGTAATAGAAAGGTAAAGATGTTTAAATGTTTTTCTATTTAAAATTATTTGTGAATATTTTGAAAATTTTAATTACTTAGGCGATTGGAATGGAAGAGTTTCGAAGCTACTGTAAAAGGAAGAAAAACCATTGTGGTTAGAAATGTAAATAATGATGTAAGTGAAAATCTTGATTTTCGAGATAATATCATAAAAGTGTCACTGGAATATGGACATCTAGTAGTTATAACATCTACACAATGCTATGTTTACAGGTAAATATGCTTATAATTTTATAAAGTGTGTCACATTAACAGTGCCGGATACATATAAATTGCATGCCTTAAAACTTTTTTCTGTGGGAGTTTGTCAAATCTTGTGTCTATGCCAACAATTCATGAACAATTTCTGATCTGAAGACCGCGATTTGATGTGTTTGTGACAGAAGTGGGCTGGAATTATGTAGTAGCATCATAAGCAATTTTGTGGAAAGAGTCTGTGAGTGCTGCCAGAGTTGTGGGGAACATTTGGCAGACACTGTCTTTCACATACAAAAACGACCTAGTACCGAAATAGGTTATAATACTACTTTATATTGAAATAAAAATATATACAGTTCAATGAATTGTGTGTTTTATTTCACAATGAAATTCGGTACTGCCATTGGGACATCTTATATAGCTTGTAAAATAAAATTATAACACTGTAATTTGTTTCCTACTGTAAAATAGCAATTTACATAATTAAATAAATTAAGAAATACAGAAGTATCTGTTCATATATTTTCTCTGCTAGTAAATAATGATTTTAATGTATACAATTGCTAATATTTTGATTTTGATCAAGTTACTGATTATGCAGCTCAACAAATTTAGAACTTTTTTGCAACAGAAAAGTTGAATTTCACAGATTATGGCCACAAAAAATATGCAGCTTGTACAGTTTTTTATTAGCTATTTTATTACTTTAAACATAAAATTTATTTATTTTTATAAGAATTTATACTAAATGCAAATAAAAAAGTTTTGCAGATTTATTTTTACTAAACTATTTGTATTTTGGTTTAATAGTACATAAATCCAAAGAAATTTTAAAAATTTACATTATTTAAATGTATATGTTATTGTGTTAACACAAATGCAGCTCTGAATGAAGCAGTTGGGACCTTAATCAGAACTATAGACCATAGCCTTAGGAGTAAAAATTCAAAGAAACCAGTGGTTTACATGACCTTTATTAAGTGGGAGTTGCGGGTTTGAGTCTCATTTTGGGTCGATTCTTTTCTTCCAGTTTAATCTAAATTAATTAATTAAATATTATAATTAGGTCTATATGACCATTGGTAAAAGAACTGATGACCCTTCGCAAGATATAGCCTCCAAAAATCAGTCTGTGGTATGCTTGTTAAGTGTGCTATAGGCTTAAGTGCTATAGGCTTAAGTGTGCAGCATGACTCCAATTGTACTCTGTGCAGTGTGATTGTATCTCTGGAAGTAGTTCTTGTGTCTCATAAATTTTTAGCCACCTTTAATAAAGTGGAAAAACAGTTGATTTTAGCTTTGTTTTATGAAATAGTTCTGAATTTTTTCACTTTTAAATTTTATCCCATTTTTGAGTGTCTTCAATATTCCAGATAGTCCAATTTTGGGGCCTATATCTTACAAGGGTCACATGTAAGCCATCAGTTCCTTTAACATTTTTACTCCTGTTGGCATGGTCTGCAACTCTGACAAGGTCCAAACTTCCTAATTTAGAGCTGCATTTATACTTGAATGAGGAAATAAATCCTTATTATTTTAAATAAATTTCAAAATAAGAATATTTTTGAATATTCAAGCTTGCCCTTAATAAATTTTATCTGTTAATTAATAAATTAGCTCAGTTACTGACTTGTGAGAATTGCAATATTGCTGATGTGTCCTTTGGTCTCTATATCCTGGTTGATCAAACACATTATTTTGACTATATTTTCTTTTACAAATATTTCAATGGTATTTTAAATCATAATTTTATATCTTTTCATGTTTCTATCCTCAATTTATGTAACAAATATTGTTTAATTACTCCATTCACTAGATTTAGCAATACAACAAAGATTTTTTTTTATTGTTCTCCGAATATTGTAAAAATTGCATGTCAGGAATTAGCTATGTTGAGAATTTTGTTTCTAAGCTAAACTTTATTGAAACAAAGTTTTTACAACACATTATAATTAAAAATAATGGGCAAGAATACATTAAAATGTTATTTGCTTTTCAGTTTTGAAAGGAGTTTGTCATAAGGGGCAATTATCAAAGGTTCTAAGGAATGCTACTGTAGAATGTGATTGAAATAAAGTTATACAGTATATGCATTTGAACATTACTATTGTGTTGAACAATAAATTTATAAAGTGTAGTAACATTTATTTTTCTTATGCATTTGGAAGTTTACAGTATATTGAATAAAAATGAGATAAAATTCGTGAATTGAAAGAAACAAAGTTGTATCTAAAGTATATTATAAAATACAGAAGCTAAGTCATTTTCTTTCTTCTGTTATGTCCAATCTCCAGGAATAAAACAGATTTCTTTGCTGAGACAACCTTTTATTAGAGGCAAATTATTAGAGGCAAAATTAACTGTTTTATATACTTTTGCAAAGGTGTAGCCCAGCAGTACTCGCAGTGCTTGTGGACTATGAAAAGGGGGCACAAGTTATGCAAGGAGTTTCAAACTCTATGATTCAATGTCAGATCAGCACCCCATAAGGTAGTGCTGGTTGCACTTGGGACTAACTTGGCCTTGAAAAGAAGGAATGGGGTTGTAGTCAACATACAACTTAGTTATATGTTGACCATACCCCACAACCTAAGTTGTATGTTGTATGTCAATGAACAAATGTTCATTAGTTTTTTTATATTTGCATAATAGGCTAGAAGTCATAAAAATTTCTGTTGTTTGGGGACCTCTTGGGAATTAAGAAAAGGGCAACTGAGATGAAAAGGGGTGGGCACATGCCCTGATGTAACCTCTGATGAAAGATCACTCTGCAAAGAAAAACTGTTTTATTTCTGGTGATTGGATATAATGGAAGAATGAAGACAACTTAGTTTCTTTTATATTTTATATCGTGAAATATACCTTCTGACATTTTAATTAAAGTATATTATGTTAGCAGCAGTTCTAAATACAGGTAGATAGAGCTTTTAATTCATTATATATGTGTGTTTGAGACTCCTAATAGAATGATTGTCATCACAAGTTGATGTAGTACAAGAAACTCATTACTATCTACAACTTCAGACCTTATATAAAAATCAAATATTGTATAATACAATCAATATCATATATAAAAGAGGTTTCACAAGTCTGTATTTGCATTGAGCTTTGTGTAATTCAAAATTATTGTATTACATATATTAAAGAATGTATGAAATTTCACTTTTTATAATTAGGTTATTTAATTTTTCAGTTTATTAATTACATATATTTCATACTTTAATTAGTACAAAGAATTGGAATACACCACAAATATTTGATTTAAAAGAATGCAATGTAACATTAGTTGTTCAAGCTGAAAGGTAATTTAATATATTTTAAATAATTTCACAAATTTCAATAAAAATTTAATATAATTACATTAGTTTTTTCATAATTGTAGACATTTCTTGTTGATTGATGGAGGAGGTGTTTATTTACATATGTACGATGGCCGCCTTTTATGTTTACCTAAATGGCCAGGAATGCGACCAAATGTTTTAAATAAATTCACTGTGAGTTTGAGTAATGATACGATAGCTGTGAGGGATAAGTCGGATGAGAAATGTAAGTATCAAATTATAATAATTTAATTTACGATAGGGTCTGCTTATTGTAATTATAGATATAATTATAAAATTCGATGAATGAAAGAGTGTGTTTGGGGACCTGTAATAAAATACATTTATGAAATTTTGCATATTGTAATCAGTGTTTTGTTATAATTATAATTACCTTTGAGTAAATGTGAATTTTTAAGCTACTGATCTATTAATTCACACTTCTTTAAAGAAGGAAAATTTTTATTGTGTTAAGGAGGCTCTAAACTTTCAGTATTTGCCAATCACTGAATAATTGTCTTTTGCCAAAGTTTTTGTCATATGGCAAGCACATATATACAGGTAACCCCCGTATAACACGGTACTTCTATAGCACGGATTCGCTCTAACACGGTTCGAGAATTGCTACCATCCCCCGTATAACACGGTACTTTTATAACACAGATTCACTCTGACATAGTTCGAGAAATGGGTAAAACCCTCGTACAACATGAAATGTAATAAATTTTTACATACTTAAGTACTAATAGTTCATGAAAATTATTATTTTCGTGAACTATTAGTACTTAAATATGTAAATTTTCTCTTCTCGCCTTCTGTCGATACACGTGGTCCTTCTCGAAGCTTGTTTCAATGTTGCCAGATGGCGACGCTTCTGCTTCTGATGTTGCCGAATGTTTTTCCCTTATTCCATACTTGCTTTATTCTTCATAAGTGCTTAGCACCATATAAGGAAATTTATAAAGACCTTTTAACTAGAAGCAAGCAATCTAAAATTACATACATTTTGCAAAAGGTAAAGCATGGA